CTGGAGAGGGTCCAGAGCAGAGCTATAAAGATGATCAGGGGGCTGGAGCACCTCCCCTGTGAAGACAGACTGAGGGAGCTGGGCTTGTTCAGCCTGGAGAAGAGAAGGCTGCGGGGTGACCTCATTGCAGCCTTCCAGTACCTAAAGGGAGCCTACAAACAGGAGGGGAATCAACTCTTTGAAAGGGTAGATAACAGCAGGACAAGGGGAAATGGTTTTAAGTTGAAGGGGGGAAGATTTAGGTTGGATGTCAGGGGGAAGTTCTTTCCTATGAGAGTGGTGAGGTGCTGGAACAGGCTGCCCAGAGAGGTTGTGGATGCCCCGTCCCTGGAGGTGTTCAAGGCCAGATTGGATGGGGCCCTGGGCAGCCTGGTCTGGTATTAAACATGAAGGCTGGTGGCCCTGCATGTGGTAGGGGGCTTGGAGATTCATGATCCTTGAGGTCCCTTCCAACCTGGGCCATTCTGTGATTCTGTGATCTGTGTGACCAGAGAGAAATTCTAGAGAAAGGAAGACTTTCCACTGGTCAAGGAAGACTGCATTAGAGATCGTGTAGGCAAATCTGACACCCCCAAATCTATGGGCCCCAATGGGTGCACCCACAATTGCTGAGGGAGTTGGCATATATTATTTCTCTCTGTTACCTTTCATAGGTCATGAAGAACAGAAGAGGTGTCTGAGGACTAGAGGAAAGCCAGTTTCCTTCCAGAACTGCCACTCCAGTTCAAAAACGGCAAGAGGGCCGACCTAAGGAACTGCAGACCAGTCAGCTTTACCTCTGCCCTTGGAAAGGTAATGGAACAGCTCATCCTGGATGTCACCTCCAAGCTTGTGGAGGAAAAGAAGGTGATCATGTAGTCATGATGAGCACAGATGCATAAAAGGGGAACCGTGCTCAACCAAACTGATGGCCTTCTATGTTATTATGTCTGGCTGGGTAGATGAAAGAAGAGCAGTGGATGTTGTCAACCTTGACTTGAGCAAGTATTTTAATACTGTTTCCCATAACATCCTCATAGGTAAGCTCAGGAAGTGTGGGTTAGATGAATGAATGGTGAGGTGGATTGAGAACTGCCTAAATGGTGAGTCTCAGGGTCTTGTGATCACTGGTAAGTCCCAATGGAGGCCTAAAGCTAGTGGTGTCCCCTGGAGGTTGGTACTGGGTCCAGTATTGTTCAGCTTACTCTTCAGTGACCTGGATGAAGGGACTTAGTGCACTCTCAGCAATTTTGCTGATGATATGAAGCTGGAGGGAGTGGCCAACACACCAGAAGGTTGCCATTCAGTGAGACCTGGACTGACTGGAGAGTTAAGTGAAGAGGAACATGATGGAGTTCAACAAAGGCAAGTGCAAGGAGTACTGTGTTCAGCTCTGGGTTTCCGAGTATAAGAAAGATGTGGAACTACTGGAGAGAATCCAGTGGCAGAGTATCTCTCCTATAAAGAAGGGCTGAGACAGCTGAGCCTGGAGAAGAGAAGACAGAGGGAATCTTATCAATGCATCAGGGATCAATGTATCTTAAGGGATGGTGTAATGAGGATGGGGCCAGACTCTTTCATGGTGTTCAGCGGCAGGGTAAGAGTCAGTGGGCACAAAATTAAACAAAGGTAGCTTTGTCTGAACATGAGGAAAAACTATTCTGCTGTGAGGATGACAGAGTACTGAACATGCTGTCCAGAGAGACTGGAATCTCCTTTCCTGCAGATACTCAAAACCCACCTGGACATGACCAGCGCAACCTGCTTTCTGTGTCGCTACATGACATGGTTGGACCAGACAATTTCCAAAGGCTTCTTCCCACCTCAACCATTTGTCTGTGTGTGTGTATGTGTGTGTGTGTGTGTGTGTGTGTGCAGCAATTGCAGTGCTGCAGAGATAGAGAATGACCTCAAAGGAAAGCAGGCTTGCTGCTTGGCCTGGTTCATACCCACTGATGCATTCCAACAAAAGCAGCAATAAAAGCCCTGTAGATCATGGAAGTCCTTATATATCCCAGAACATGTTGACAGGAGCATGTGCTTTCTCATTATAAAGTTTATTGTAATGTTGTTAATTGCCCTAATTTTCCTTCAGGTTTGATCCTGAAAAGAGCAGAAATTGTGCTCCTAGAGAAGAAAACCAGAAGGCTTGGCAAACTTCACTCCCCGAGACTCTGTTCTTGCTCTCATTCCCAGGTGGGGAAGTCACAGGTTTGTGCTGAAGTGTTTTTCAGTAGCTTTCACCCCAGCCCAGAAATGAAACCTCTGCTTATTCCCCGGTAAGGAACCAGCAACACCCAGTGGCCTGGGCATTTTAGGAGCATGACATCCAGATCTGGAAGTAAACATCACAGTCTTGGCTCTTCTCAAACTCAAGAACTGTTTACTTGAATCTAAATTCTAATACCTGTCACAGGAGAGAGCCATTATTCAGGAAGATGTCAAATGATGCACTTAAGATAATTGAGCAACTAACTGGCTGCTGGGGGGTGATGAGGATCCTTCTGAAACATCACTCTGCTGTTTGCAAGGCACTTCAGATAAACCAACTAATTAACACCTCCATCACCAACATAGCAGACCAATCTCCTTGCTGTCTCCTTGAAATCAGCTGGAATCCATTGGACAGCCCTTGGCGTGTTCCCAGATGAGCTGGAGCAAACTCCAGAGATCGCCTGTAACCAGATCCAATGCAAAGTCACACAGTCAGACTGGACAGCCCAGGGAAGGGTTCATCTGCAGCGTTGCGTGGTCCAGACCTGGCCTATGGTAATTTGTCAACATACAGACAGTGCTATCTTCAACATCTCTGCTCACAGAATTGAATTCTATGCACATGGCAGCTTGTGCTACATGCTCCCGTGGTAAATAAATGCAAGTTGTTTCTGCAACTTCTGAATTAAATCAGCCTCCCAGCCTGTGCTGCACTGCTGCGAAACCTTCGTCTGTGTGACCGCATGGCATGGCACATCTTTTGGAACGTGTTGGCTCTATGAAAGCTGGATTCCTTTTCTCAATGGAAAATTTTAAGCTGTTCCCACCAGTGACATCACGGTGCTCTCCACTCCTACAGCCACAAAGGCGTATATTGATAGGCATGACATTTTCCTTTAATGCTGTCATTGTTTCCAGCATTTCATTTGGGCTGTTGCTTGAAGCCAAAAAAACAAGACAAAAGGCAAAGTATGTTAAAAGGAGACCTAGGCTGCGTGCAAATATGTGGCACGAGAGAATCTCTGACTCCAGGCAATTTTCAAGGAATTTGCTTTCCACGGGGGATTCTCCCGAGTGAGTTAGGATGACGCCGTCATCTCAGGCTCCTGAAACTGCCACCTCCCTTCTGTAACTTGCTTCAGGCAGATGCTTCGGTATTGCTGAGCTGTGCAGGGATCTGGCATTGGCTTTTAGATCTTATTTTACAAGATTTGTGTCAACTGCATAAAAGAGCACACTGATGGGAGCTCCTGAAGCCCTGCCGTGCTTGCTTTGTGAATTTCTCAGGAGTGGAACACTGGATCCTCAAGGGACGTTTGTGCGTTTCATGCAGGGCAGAGAGGAGAAGGGCAGCAAAAAGTGTTGCCCTTTGTACCTTGTTTCTTTCTAAAGTGATAGCAGAGCTCAAAGCACTTCTTACAATATTGATCCAAAGTTCCATACTGTTGGTCTTCCCAAAAAATTTGGCATAGGTCAGGGTTGGGCACTGAGTTTCCCAACCATGTTAGTTATCAGAAAGGAGAGAGTTGAAGAATTGAACTGGTGGAGGTGAGCTTTTGGGCTGTGTGTCTGGATATCTGCAAAACATTTAGTGCTTGGAAACTGCAGCTCCTTCCACAGTGACAATCTTTGACATTCAGGGATCACCTTTTCTACAAATGAATTGTCTCTAGTTTTCTGACCAGCTTACTTTCCACTCTGCTTGCCTCTATAGATTATTCTTTTTTAAATATTATTATTCCTGAGCATTACCCACAACACTTCCAATGAACTCTGTCCAGGTTACTCTTACATTTATCAACACTCCATTTGTCAACACTCTTATATTTGTTTGTTTCACAAGAATTACCCTGGGCTCTTCCGAGGAACTGTTGTTCGGAATGATATGACAGCTTATAGATAACCTCACTATTATTTATTTTATTAAATATGCCTTAAGAGTTGCTTTGTGTTTCAGGGAGTTTTCAGACATCCATGCTGATTACTTTTTGACGTTAGTTTGTCTGGCAGTCTGGACAAAACAGTGCGCCAAAGGTATAAAATGAATGCTGTGGTAAACCGAAGTTAAATGAACATTTGGAAAGGGGAGCAGCTACTTTTCTATTACACGGTGCTGCTGGAAAACCTGAACAAACCTGTTAGCTAGATGAAAAAGAGCTGAAGAAAGAAAGGGTGCCAGGTTTTGTGTCTCAACAGCCTCTGCCCTCTCACTGTGTGGTCTCACATAGTGTTTGGACCACTTGACAGTTGAACACTTGATCTCACAAGCTCTGCTGGCCTTTTTTCCCTGTTGTTTTGGTTTCTTCTACAAATTAAGACCCGTCATCAAGACAGCCTGTGAGCACAAGTGCTTGCCAGTGCTGTCCTGACTGGGCAAGGAGGCTGCAGAGTGCAGCTGGGCACACCTGGGCTGGCCAGAGGCCGAAGATGGTTGAAGGTGCTGAGAAGACCACCAGCAGTCCTTTGGGGCTCTGCTTTGCCCTTTTAATTCAGTGTGGGCATTTCCCCTCTCTCATTTTTATCTTTCTCCTTTTGGCAAAATGCATGTTGAAACCCTGTTGGTTTTTCCCACTGAGATCAGTAATAAGTGAGTGCCTTCTCACAGGCCTGCTGCTCAGAACAGAGGGGAAGGAGGAACCCCTCCTACCAGCAACCAAAACCCTATTTCTCCCTCTCCATATGGCAGAAGGTGGAAAGTCATAGCCAAAAACTCCATGCTGCTTCTGCTCATGCTTCATGGATGTCAGGTAGGTGAGCAAGGTGGGCACCTGAGAGTGCCAGGGTCACGGAGAGCACTCAGGAGCAGTCAGGAACTTATTGCAGGCAGTGGTTAGAGCTGGCCTGCTGATGTGGGAGGTCCCTAAGCCTCTCCTGAGATGGAAAAACATGCTCGGCCCTTTTTGAGTTACATTAGTTATATGTAGCAGACAGGTTTTCACATAGCAAACATCTGACTGCTGCCCGTGCTCCTGCAGAAGCAAAGATGGTGACAGCTGTGCTCCAGTGAAATGGTAGCATACTTCTGCAAAAACTATTTCTAATTCTGAAAGCTTTTCTCTCCTCAGGATTGACACAGAAGTTAAACTGAACCTCTGGTTGCATAGAGTCCCCTGCACTTGACTCAAAGCACTTACTCGGCCCGAGAAACTGCTGTAGGGGGTGGCCTGCTTCATTTTGCCTGCTACCAGCATGGAAGGAGAGCAGTTTGTCTGTTAGCAGACTGGGGACCGAGGTTGAGTAAAAATGTGAAAGCGGGCTGGGAACAAGGCTTGTGTGAAGTGGTTTGTTGTGAGAAGATCTGGCACAAGGTGAGCTGAGACCAAGCTAAGCCACAGCCCTGCTGAAAGTGGCCTTTGTTACCTGGCATCAGCAACCCTGAGTGCCCTTTTTTTATTTCCCTTCTTCCATGCAGTTACCTCAAACAAACAAGTGAACCGAAGCAGCCGGGCCTTTTGCTCTGGGAGTTCTCACATTCCCTGTAAGCAGGGAGGGGCAGCTTGTGTCTGGGCATCCAGGCAGGTTCTGGTGGGTCACGCTCCTTACTAAGACCTGGTGAACGCTGTGGGCATTTTAGTCTTAAATTCCAGCCCCAGAAAACTCAGTTCTTGTTTGCACTGTTAGCTGTGTCCCTGCAAGAAGCAGCTCGTATGGAGCAAGGCTACATGGGCATGTTGCAGAGCTGTCTGGGCCAGTGGCTAGGACTCTCGGGCTGCTCTGCTGATGTGAGGAGCCTCCAAAAACATCTTCATCATACAAAAAGCAGCCTCTTGGCAGGGAGCTGCATGGTGGCATGGGACGCCCATCACTGCTCCTGGAGCATCTGGCCCCAGGAAGGGGCTTTGGGGCTCCTAGCCCAGGATTTGAGGGCTGAGCCTGGGCTGAGTTGACAGATTTCAGAATCTTGGCCAAGAGGAACCATATAATAGCACTAGAAAACCTGGCACAGCAGTTGCTGCTTAGACTGCATGCCCTGTGCTGCTTGACATCTCAGGCTGCTTGACATCTCAGGACACAAGCCTGCTGCTGGGCAGGGCCTGAGCCATTCCTACTCCTTGTTCCCCAGTGCTTGTGGAGGAGACACCTCCCCCATTCTGAATTGACAGCCCTCCTCCCAGCTCCTTCGGTATCCAGGAAAGGAAGCCAATTTCCTTTGCATAGTAATCTGAGCTCCAGTAGTCAACAGTGCTATTTAAAGAGCAAGGCAATGCTGCTGTACAAGGAGCTTATGGTTTGGAGAAAGCTCTCCGCCTCCGTGCGTAAAAACTAGGCTAATAATGGTTTTCTGCCTCACACGAGCTGCTGGGAATTAATTAATTTTCAAAGCAGTTTGAAACACAGCCACAACAAAGGTGCTAATTTTTATTTATTAATATTTCATGTTTGCAATGCAAGACTAATTATGTGCATGGCAAAGAGTGCATTTTACATGTTATTAACTCAACGGTTGAGATAGTACTTATATTCATCTGTACCTCAAAAAAAAAAAAAAAGTTTCATGAGATAAAAAATGGGGAGGGGGAGTCTCCTAAGTGTGATCTTTATTGTGCTGTTTCAATCTCGTCTCATGCTGAGCCTGTCAAGACCAAACATCTGGCTGTTGCTGTAGCACGCAATGCCTCCTGAATTGCCAACTCCCGCTCAGGAAGAAGAGGATCAGAAGAGCCAAGCAAAGGTAGAGGGGTAGGGAAGGAGCCAGGTTTGTTACCCACACTTTAGCAGTGACAAGAAGGGGGAAGGGTCTGTGTTGCTGCAGAGCAAGCACGAGCACAAAGCACAGAGGACTTCCACATGCACTGGTGGGGATGTATTACTCAATCTCAACCCCTGCTTGGGCAGGGCTGCCCCCCACCAGCTCAGGCTGTGCAGGGCCCCATTCAACCTGGCCTCGAGAGCCTCCAGGAATGGGGCACCACAGCTCTGGGCAGCCTGTGCTACTCTAAGTGAAAAATTTCCCCCAACATCTAAATTATGTCTGTATGCATATGTGTGTCACTGGCGTGTAGGGAAGATGTCCACTACAGGATAGCAATTGTGTCTTTCTGCATGTTTGTATAGTAGCTAAACTAATAGTAGCTCACTGTATAGTAGCTGTGAAGGCAGCTGCTAGATGTCCTGTGAATATGCTCCTTGTCAAGCTCTAAAGAAGAGCACCTTTAAAGAATATCAGAAATGAAACTGGAAAATGAAAACATTGTTTGGAGTATTTTCTCCCTGCCAAGTCTGATAAAGTCAAGAGGGAACAGGAAATCCTGGGAAGTCTAGCTGCAAAGAATTTGTGGCTATAAGCAGGTGTGGATGTATGCCTTCACATACGTAGGAGATGTGAAAGAAGCACTCTACCCTTTGCTCTGCTCTGGCTCATCTAGAACACTCATGTAGAAATATAGGGAACCCTAGTGTTTCCTAGTCCTTCAATCATGTGTACAACAAGGACAATAAAAATGAATACAAAACATCCAATTTCCATCGTTTGGGCTTTGAAGCAGCCAAAATCAGAGTTTGTGGGGTCAGTCATTAGTCTAAAACTTAAATGCCTTGTAAGTAAAATGATCTCAGTCTGGGTGATTAAGAAAATAGGTCCCTGTGAAGAGATAAGGCACAAAGTTCGATGCTGAGCAAAAGAGACATCTGAAAGGCGACTCAAAATTATAAGCAGAAGTTGGAGAGGTGCCCAATGTGACAGACAGAACTCACCTTAGTTCTCGTTAGATAAAGAAGGTAAGTTAACAATTAACTAAGATTTTTGCAAGTTGAAAGGTGAGTTGTAATTCCCTATGATAAAGAATAGTGAGAAACAGAAGCATATTTAATGATTTAACATGTTGGTCTCAAAACACATGAATCCGAGTTTTGCTGTCACTGGATTTAGCTCTGTCTCATCCACACTTGCTGTTGATTCACTAATAAGTGCTGTTTGCCTCCAAGTAACTTCTCATTCATAGCAGCCCTTCTTTAGCTGTGTAGCCATGAAAGTGGGCACGAGTCGATTCTCTGTCCCACACGCTGACGGTGCCATTTCACCCCAGCCTCTCACTGTCAGGGTTGTGGGAGAGGATTTAATTCCCAGCAGTTTATCAGATTTTTCTGTCTTTTGGGGTGATGTGCATTTCCCTCCTTGAAATTACATTTTCCTTTCCGACTTAGGATTTTTGTGGACTTACGTTGCCGCCTAGATTGTGTGTTGTGAGCTGGGAAAGAAATCTCCACGTCGCTTGAAGCTGCCACTGCCTGTAAGGTAACTAGAGCTGACAGTGGGCTTGTACGAGCACAGAGCTGTAAATCACTGAAATGTATTGCACATAATTTCCTGGTGCCTGCTCTCCTTGGGAGCGGAGCCCCGCTGGGATGAATGTCATTACAGCGTGGAGGCTTCTGGCTCTGATGCTCCTTTTGTTTGTCTGGAAATGGGGCTCTGCTCAGTAGAGGCGAAGGGAATGACCCAGGCTGCTCCAGGGACACCAGCCTCCTGCCTTTACAGTCACCTCGTGTTTCTGCCATCCCACAAAATGCGTGGCATTTTATTGCAGGTAGGCAGGCAAGGTGGGAACTCCTTCCTCAAGTGCTATTTCTTTAATGGGCAAATTCATCAGTACAAGGTCTCTGAGCAACTGAGGGCACTTTGTTTCTGTGTCCCCTGGCAACTTGAGCCAAAGCCTCACAGGCAGGAGAGAAAAGCTCTTTATTTCACTTATTTCACCCTAGAACAGTCTGTAAGAGATGGTTATTGTGTTAGTTATTAAGTACAATTTCCACGCTTTCTGCCAATACATGCAGGTCAGTGTTTGGTACTTTAAAACAAAAAGGGAGCAGACCCCACAAGGTTAAAAAAAAAAAACAGAATAGTTTCTGAAAATACCTAAGCCATCATTTTTTTGTGGTTATCTGCCCATTCCATCAGTGCAATGTCTGCAGCACCCCTGGGGCTCAGTGGCATGGTGGTACTGCTCCTGCTGTCACTGGCATTACCCTGCCTGCTTCCAGTCCCATCTGGCTCCCAGCGCTGCCAGCAGACCCAGATACCTTTGTGACTGTGGCTTTTTGTTTTGTTTTTCTTTTTAACCAATGCACTTTATACTATTTCAGTGTGTATTTATTTTCACCCTCACTGCTTCCTTTTGAAATTATGCAAGCTGTTTAATCCTCTTAGCATTTTCATGGAAGGGTGGACTCAGCAGTGCATGGAGCAGTGATTTCCCACCAAGGAAAGTGGACAAAGCACCACCACCTCCTGCACATCTCAGGATTCTTAAGGTGTTGGCATCTCAAAATTTGACTCAGTGGGATCCAGTATTCCAAAGGCTGGGCCAAGGGTCTCAAAACTGAGCTAACAAGTCTCAGTCCTTTTGAACTTAAGAGACAGGACTACCTGACAGTGATTGCAACAGATTTATTTCTGTTGTGTCCTTCAAGAGCTGGGCATTGGACCAGATGGGGCATGCGAGCCAGCAGATAAAAGAAACACCTCTCCTGGGTCAGTGCTGGCTCTTTGTAGCTGTACCAAATATGTGATTCTTCTGCAAACAGTCATTTCACAAACCATTGCAAACATTTCATTGGGAAATTTAGAGCCTTGTGTGATCCCCAGCCCAGCCCCACTGAGTCCTAGGGTGCCCATTGGCCTCAGCTGGGCTACTGGGAACTCTGCTCAGCTGGAAAACAAGGTTTTGGCTGGGCAGAATGGAGAAGAGGTGGTTTGCAGTACTTCCCTTTGATCCCCAATGCCTCGGGTGCTCTGGCTGCAAAATGAGCGGCTTTTGATGGGCCCACTTGCACCCACTTCACTTCTTTCTCTTTTCATGGTTGGGTAGATGAACCTACCCAGACTGATGATGAATGAGAAGGGGAACTGGACCTGCTGGTTCCCTTTTATCACTGTACCCTCAGTGCACCGTTAGCTGCCTTCAGTCCTTCTAACTGGCTCCTCTAGCTTTTGACTGTGCATCACAACTACCTATAAAATATTTTGTCATTCTGGTCTGGGCTGCATTTGAAAAGTGAATCCTATTCATCCTGGAACATGCTGCACTTACTGATGCATTGCACATGTTTTGATACAAGCAATTTCAATTTGGTCTTCCCTACACAGTGCAGTTTTAAAACACTTCTGTAAAATGTAAGAGCAGGTACTTTAGACTAAGTGTGTGCAATCATGCTGTGAAATGAAGGCAACTCTTAGGACCATATAATGCATTTCCAGCATTCACTCAGAGGACCATCCCTGTCCTGGCTCCACCACTCCGTCCCTCTTGTGAACTTGGGAGCACCTTTGCCCAGCAGTGCAGAAGGGTAGAGCATGTGGCTTCTGTCAGACCTAGGATATTTCTGAGGGCCCTGTGCATACGTAGCTGTAGAACTGGTAAGGATGCTGAGTTACCAGCTCTCAGATTCTCAGAGGAGGATGGAGCTGAGCCATTGCCAGCAGATGTGCTGCTGGAATGCTGCTGGGGAGCCTTGAAAGAGATGTACTCAGCTCCAAGAGGTGTCTGAGTCAGCAGGAAAAGGGGAAAAGAATGGCTTGAGCACAAAACAGTTTCACAATGTAGAAAACAGCTGTGGATTTGATTGTGGGAGAAGAGGAGAGAAAATATGCTTGTGGGGATCACAGGAGAAATCAGTATCTGGTAATTGATAATACAGCATGAAATAGTACCATGAATTCCCAAATTGTGACTGAGCTACTCAGTGTTGAGCCTGGTTTAATAATAAGCACAGCTTAACTGAAACATAAGAGGAGGACTTTTTCTTTCCACTGGGGGGTTCTTGCAAATTGGTTATGTTCTGTTTTCAAGTTTGTCTGATCTGTTAAGAATTCTAAAATGCTCTGAATCTTATTGCATGTGATGGGTTTAAGAAGGATGTTTGTCTTATTTTAAAGAAAAAAAATTAAGATAGCTAAAAACCTGGGGCTAAGTTTGGCCAATTTCAAACTTCTCTCCTTGCTAAAAATGCCATTTTCTAAATGCAAGACCGAACCACTGAAAACAACACCTGGTAGAGAACTTCTTTTTCTTACTTTTGGATTTCTTTTCAGTGTTTTTAGTGTGCTGCTGAATTCTGATATAAAGACGTAGCATTCCTGAGATAGGCCAAATACGTTCAATATCATAAATAGTAAACCACTGTATAAAGGATACTATCCCAAGTAGTTTGACAAGGAGACTGAAATATGTTATCTACATGTGAAGTATTCCCTTTTTTCTGAATAATGGAAGTGGCTGGGGAAACTGGATGCTTGGAGTTCTGAGAAATACTGACAAAATTAATGATGGCCATAAGATTAGGCACAAAAGCCACTTTATTGCCATTGAAAGTGCAAGGTATGATATTTTTGGGAAGGGGTTAGAAGCGTTACAAAGGTGCCCACTGTAAGTAAATGCTTTTATTGCAAAGGAAAAATTCCTGGCAAAAACCAAACCATACCTTTGCTGAATATTAAGACAGCATCCTCATAGAGCCAAGATGAAGCTGCTCCTGCATGGGAGGTGAGCAAAAACCTGGGTACTGTTTAGGTAGGATCTAAATCCACTGAAGCCAGGGAGTTGTTCACAGGAATTACATGACTAGCAGCAAAGATTCTGTTGTAAAATTGAACTTCAGCTTTTATTCAGTTCCCAGTAAATGTTCTGTTCGGTTCTCAGTAACTGTTCCTGATATTGACCATTCCTTAATATCCCCTTAGGTATTTACCTTGTAATGTACATCTGGAGAAAATTTTCTTGTAACTGAATATTTATCCTGAGACTTGTCAGTGATTAATGTGCATTTAATCCCCTACATATGTGATGAAACTTGAAGATGCAACTACCTGAATACTGAATTATGTCCTTGGAATTTGGCTTCCTATCTCCCACTTCTTTTCCTCACTATTTTAAGGACATTTTCCACAAAGAAAAAACTTTGCTGAGCTGTCTGCCTGGCTCATGCAGTGCCCCAACACTTGTGTGGGCACTGACCAGGAGCCGACCCCCCCTGTGAAATCTTCCCTGTGCGTGAGTCATTAGGCAGCAAACTTGGCAGTGTTTATTCTCCCTGCCCTGTGTGATGGGGGGGATGACGTGTACTGCAGATCTTGAAGCCTCTAATGTAATTTAAACCTGCTTCTAACAAAGAACAGAGAGTAATATCAAACTTCATTTCAGTGCACTAAAGAGAAGAGGTGCTGTCTGTGTGCTATATGGAGGATAATGTGCAGTGTGGGGAGTCTCCAACTCTCCAGCCCATGGCACCCACACCATCTTGTACTGAACAAAAAGAGGAGGGAGAAAGCTGCAAACTCCTAACAGGTTCAGGTTGGGTATTAAGAAAAAGGATTTCTCCGAAAGAGCGGTGAGGCAGTGGCACAGGCTGTCCAGGGAAGTGGTGAAGTCACTGTGCCTGGAGGTGTTTGAGAACCGTGTGGATGTGGCACTGAGAGACATGGGCAGTGGGCATGATGGGGATGGATGAGGTTGGACTAGGTGATCTTAGCAGTCTTTTCCAACCTTAATTATTCTGTGATTCTGTAAGCCAGGCAAATGTGAAGCAGGCTTAACTGCAGCCGAGCAATGACAATTGGTGCCAGAAAAAAAGAGCTCCTCTGCTCCTGGCCGCAAGCAGCTCGTTCCTAATTGTTCGCAGTTAGCTCAGATTAGCTGTGAAACTGCACAGCAGAAACCCGGGCGTGATGCATGCTATGTCAACAGGAAATAAAGGAGATGTACATACATCTCTCTGCATGTGCAGGCAAAGTGGAAGGGGCTGGCGAGTGATCTCAAGCTGCGGAAATGCCTGTATGGTTGTAGGAGCACAGTCTGTGATAAGATCGCATATGAGTAGGGTTTGGGTTGAGACCTTCTGGGAGAGATGAAAGAAAGGTTTACAGCTAGTGCTTGACAAAGAATGAAAGCTTGTCAGGAACAGGAGGTAAATCATGGAAGGAGGAGGACAGCCTCTTGACAGAAAGGACAAAGTAAAAAATCAAGATGCTGCAGGTAAAGGTTTGACTCAGGAGGTCATGCAAAGTTAAAAGTCAGATTCCAGCAAAAAAAATGGCCTGGAAAGAGGCACATCCTGTGATAGTCATCGTGAACTAACTGTTCTTTGGATCAGGGTGGTGTGAAAGGATGTGTTACATCTGCAAGAGTCAGTGAACAAAGAGGAAGAAGATCCCAATTCTCATTGCAAGGAAAGCTTGTGGAGTGGTGCATTTTGGAGTCTCAGAGTACACTCTTATTTTCTCCCTTCTTCTTCTTCTTT